TTTTACGAAAATATTCCGACCGTCAAGCACCGTTTCCCCCTCCCCATGGTACAACACAACTTGTTTAACATACCTGCACTCAGCAACTAATACCCACACCATAGAGTCCTAGAAGCCCTTACGGCGCCACAAACACGAGGTGATCCACAAACAGCGAACGTAATACTCGGAGAGCCATCAAACACTGTATCAACACACCCACACGGTGCCGCCATTTGTCACTGGCGAGAGCTGATTACCGAACCCTTCAGGTGCTTCGATCTTTCACCTTACTAGCAGCAAATGTAATTTTTCTCGATAACATTATTTTACTTTTGCTTTTTATACTTTCTATTCTCTTCAGTCTTCACCAATTGGCTCCTTGGAAAAACTACCCTTAAAATGGTTAACGAACTCTTTTAACACCATATGTATTAACTACTGTAATTTAGTTCAGTAAATATCTACTGTATTTAAATAGCTTTATATTAACCATAATATAAACGAGTTTGCTCATGAAAATAAAGACACCGTACGTACTTGCAAATAACTGATAAACAGCTGTAGTTGCATACCCATTCCTCACGGCGTCAGCGTGGCTATTGAGTACTGCTGTCACCAAAGACTAATATAAGAAAGACGGAAAAGCGTCTGCCTTTAAAGCAAAGACTATAATAAGACAGGAAAGCATCTACCTTTCTAGAAAAAAAAAACGTAAACCACTGAGCTCAGGTCAACTATAAGCCCGGGGCGCGTGAGCAGTGTTGCCATCTACAAATTTACATTCCCACTACATGAGACTCCAAAACCAGCTAGATTTGACCCCCAACCTGCTAGATTGTAACTGTACATATAATAGCGTGTGTTACCCTCTTTATTTATTTATATATATATATATATATATATATATATATATATATATATATATATATATATATACATAGATAGAATGATATATAAATTATGGTAGTACATAGAAGCATAGCTAATTAGCACACCGGTGGGCATTATAATGTTACAAAAGTAATATAAATGTATAATCAACATCAAAGGATATACATGGCCTACCTTTAAAACAGGAAGAAAGAGGAATCATCGAATTCCTCTACCTCTGTTTCCTCTCGAGATGTACAGTACTTGCTCTTGGTGTTGATTTCAGGATTGGTTTACTGACGTATAGATTTGTAGTTCCAATCAATTTCAAGATATCAGCCGGTATTACATATTCAAAACAATACTTTTCATTTATTTTCAAACCTGCTCGTATTGCAAGAAGAGCATTAGCCATTTTTTTTCCCATTCTGTTTCGAGTTTATTTTTCACTATATGTATCTGGCTGAATATCCTTTCTAGTTCAGCATTAGAGTCGGGTATGGCGAAAACTGAAAAGTAAACTCTGCCAATCCTTGAATGGATTACAATGTGATACGTCCATGTAGTTATGTACACTACTTCATTTCAAAACAGGACAGAGTGTGAAATTTCATTCCATTTCACAAGAGTGAGATCCTTCCACTGACTGCCTATATTTATGCAAGTATAATTATATAACTAAAACGATAGAAATCAGTTAAATCCGCAAAAAACTCTCTAGCAGCTAGACAGTGTAGCCAGGGGGCAGCAGCGCACCCTCCACCAGCTCTACCTCCCACTCGGGAGGTGGCACCAGCCCCGCCTACCAGCCGGGAGGAGGCGAGCACCGTGTTAGCAATGGCATTTCTAACCACACCCTGCAAAATACAGTGTAGTTAGCAAATGCTGCAGGTTCTGAGAATAGAGGGGGGTCCGGAGTTACTACTAAGAGCAGAGACGTTGCCGAGAACAAATGCTGGCTTGAATGTCCTGTACACTAATATTGACACGTTCCTTGATAAGAGAGAGGGGGTTTGAAACACTACTGAAGGTACACAACCCGATATTGTAGGAGTTGTAGAACCGTTATACAAGAACAGGAGAATAGACCCAGAGGAATGCAATTTCAATATTGCTGGATATGACTCATTTACGAACCTTTCTCAAGAAACCTGCAAGAAGGGTGTGGTTATCTATGCTAGGCAAGAACTTAAGAGACAGCCAGGCGAGGGTACAAGGAGAGGATGTTTTTGAAGAGTCCAAGTGGTGTAAAATTAAATTAAAGGGAGGGGGACTTACTCATTTTAGGGTGTATCAACAGATCCCCTGTACTGCGCACATCATTGTCATTCCTAAAAACCCCATTTAATTCATATTACGCTATATAACATTCAAATCCACCGCGCTTGTAGAATCTCAGAAAACGGGAAACACTGTTAAAGGATAACTCACCTACTCAATGTTACTAGACCATGTGTTGTATTGTACCCAGGTACAGTTATATCATATTAATTGTATGTATTCATAGCATTAAGGAGAACTCAGGGTATCCATAAGATGAATGTTGAAGTCCAATTGAGCCGGACTAGTGTACTGTAGGACTAAGTGTGGATCAGGGTTTGAAGGTCATACTATTTACGTCTATGAACGTGTAGCGAACATAACTTCCACAGATATCATATGAAAATACATGAGAACAATGATCTGAAAAAAGGATAAATGTATCAGAACTATGTGAGGTGTTGGAAGTGACCCAGAAATTATACTTGAAAGGAAATAATCTTGTATGCGTCAGTATGAACTTAATACACCTCGTATCCTCACGTGACATATACCCACGACAGGTACAGTGATCAGAGAATCTTATGTCTGTGTTCAAATAGTGCAATGTGTGAGAGGAGGATCCCTCACCACAATTTTAAGTGAAGTTGATACACCCCCGCCATGAACATTCAGCCTTTGTTTTAAGGCGCGTCATGTACCCGCCTCGGGTGTGCCGCGTTGATATTATAACCCAATGAATTTACCCACGAACTAGCAAACCAAGACCTTACCTTAGTGTGTAATTTAGGATTAAAATATGTGTTTATTCGGCATGAGTGACAATATACCGAAAAGTGTTCAGGTGAGAACCGTAAGAAATAAAAGTAAAAATTAAAGATTGGAAACTGTAGGCCTACACGGTGATGAGCGGCAGGGCACTGCCCTCAGTACCCTCCGTTCTACCGTCACCACAGGTCAGTGTCCTATCGGGCTATATCCCGCCCTATAATTAAGGCTTATATAGAAGTTATTACAGTTTAAAGCTTTGCCTGATATATAAGTGTAATAGTAATGTGTTCGGGGGTGTGATAACCGCCTGTCAGGCATTATTTCTCAGTACCCTCCATTCTACCGTCACCTCAGGTTCCATGCGGTCGGAGTGCCTTGCTGCCCGGCAGCCATTATCCCTATGAGCGTCCCAACAGGTGGTGACTACTCCCAGCTATGCCAATCCACTGTGAACCTGTGGATTTCCAGCACACCACTCCAAATGAGTAGTCACAAATGAGGAGACCATGAGAAACTCTGCGGTCGTCACTTGGAGCGATCTATAATACCAGGCGTAGAAATAGTACTGGTATGTCTTTGGGTGAAGCCCTCGTCTTTACCCACCGAGGGCGGTGTGTGAACGAGGTGCCTGTTGTTTATACCTAAAAGTCACAAGGAGTCCCATACCTGCAGGTATGGAGTGTAACATATGTGTTGAGATGGTGCTACTATGTATGATAACCGACGGTGCTATATTCCATACAGGTGGAGCAGTCTGATGTGTTAAGGGATAGTGTAAGGAGGAATGACCGAGGTAAGGTCACAGATTGTTATCGATCTGGTCAATGGAAAACCTAACCCAATGCCAAGTCCACTCTGCACGCTACCTAATGAGCTACATGCTGTCCAGATGGGGTCTGGTGGCAGCGACCCTTAGAAATTAAGATTAGTTAAGTATTTACCCTTAGTATTAGTGACCCCCAGTCTGGCAGTATACCCCAAACTATAGCCCACTAAATCAAAGGAACTTAAGAGCCTTAATGAACAATGCAGCGGTGCTCAACCTTAGCCACTTCTTTATCATGGGTGACTTTAACTGGTGACATCGACTGGAGAAACGAGTTCACCACAAATGACTTGAATAACCCTGCTACTCTTTTTGTAGAAACTCTGAGAGATAATTTTCTGTTCCAACATGTTAAAGACCTGACACATTACAGAGGGGAGCAAACACCCAAGCCACTAGACCTCAGCATAACAAACGAGGAGGGTATGGTGGCCAAACTGGAACATCATGCCCCAGTTGGCACCAGTCACCATGTAGTGTTGTCATTCAGATCTAACTGTTACCTAGTTCAAGTTAAAGCCAGGCCAAGGTGTAAATATTATAAGGGAAATTACGATGGGATGAGGGGTATCCACTGGCCTGACTCACTAAAGCACAAGAACACAGACACTACGCTGAATATCATAACTAGTAAAGTGACCCATTTGATCGATAAATATATACCCAAGACTAAACCCAGTACCTCTAGGAATACGAGAGGATCCCTACACATGTAAATGCCTGGAGGAACAAAAGGTCCCCGATGACTGGAAAATGGCTTAAGTGAGTCCTATATTCAAGAAGGGCGATCATCACTCCACAAATAATTATAGACCAGTGATCCTGACCAGCATAGTGTGCAAAGTACAAGAGCATCGCAAGAGATGCCATGATGGAACATCTGCTACGAAACAACCTTGTAAAGGATTGCCAACAAGCCGATCAGTGGCGAAGAAGATAAAAGTAAATACAAAAATGAAAAAAAGTAAAAGATCAAAAGTGAGAAACGATATATGTATGTTGTGTTGTCAAAGTAAGAGAAACAATTGAGACCCTGCAATTGTGTGTAAATGAGGCAGAAAGAAAGATCAGCAACCTGGGACTTGGTCACAATTTTTGTGATGCCATATGGCAGCAAGGTCTACCATTAGACAACACATTATGCTTCCAATATCTTCCCAGGCGGTAGTACCTCCCTGTTTGATAGCTGCCTACTACCTACTACCTACCAACAATCAAATACTGTACTGTACAATATGTACAGTCCTGTGTTATAAAAAAAATGGGCTTAAATACCATATATTTTTTCATACAATTTTTATTAGTTAATAAATATTCCTCAGGTATCTTTAAATGAAATAAATTTCGCTTTGAACTTAAAATGTAAAAAATATGATATACTGTAGATTGGTACAATAATATTATTGAATTACATGACTTGCTATCTATTTATCACAGTAAATAAAATATACTTATCACCTAAATATTTATGTAAACTATTTCATCAAAGAATCAAAAAGATAATCCTCTTTTCAGACATAAGATAAAAAAGGTTGTCCAATATGATGGCCACTACTTGGCAGAGACATTTTTACAACAAATAAACATGATCAAATATTATACAGAGGCAAACTACCAGAGACAGTGTATGGGGTAGTTAAAAGCACTGGTAATTACTTATGAATGGCACTAATAATATATTCCTTCCATCAGATATAATAAACTAAACCAAGCATATAGAAGAAACTATATGACTGATAGTATGATGCTCATTATTTATTAACTGCACCAAAGGCACTTCTCCCCACAATATAAAATGCTCAGAGTTAAACAAAGAAACAGCCTCTATCATAATGCACTATGGACCTGATACATTGGACTTTCACTGATATTCTGGGTACAATATCTACTTTATTACGCTCTATCTAAAATAATTTCCTTTTGATATTCAGGGTACTTTAAGCAGGTTTGTTAATGCATACACAATATAAAAATGCAGTTTTTTTCTACACATTGGATGGTTTAACCTTTAGGATTTATTCTATAAGTGTCACAACTAAATAAGGAGAATTTAAGACTCACATGACTATCTTATACAGTTGTGCTTTATAATGGTATCAAAATAAGGTTATTGTATACAGTATAATCCCTGTCATTTATAAAAGTTTGAACAAAATATACTAAAAGGATAATAAATAACCAAGGAAATATACTGTACTGTACTCAATGAAACAAAAATACACATTCTTCCAATAGTAGACACTAAATATACAAATGACATTAACTATGTAATTCGTTAACCCATGCCATGTCATCCCATCTTATGAAAACACAAGTTGTCTAATTGGTGACCTATGACATGCAACTGTTTTGTCAGGAACTAAAAATAATAATAAACATCGCTGGCATATCTTCCAACTGCAATTCCATCAAATGTGATGTTGCTTAGAGATGCAAAATTTCTCAGGTCTCTGCTGACTGCAAAAATATTATTTGTTCACATTTCATTATGCAAGGTGGTGCTGGTCACGTAGGTGGTGGACCCAAGAACCGTACGGTGACAAATGGGTGCAGCACGTGGTGAATTGTAGTCCAGCCCGGATGATAAGGCTGTAGCACTGAAGAATCACCAGAAGAAATAGTTAACAGAAGGAAAAATGCTGCTAGCAGAAGCAGCAGAGATGTAAATGCATATCGAGCACCCTGTACCGTCTGCTGGGGGGAGTACGGCCACTGTCCACCTCGAGCCCAACCTATCACGCCCTCTAGCGCCACCATCAGCCAGCTGCAACGGTTGAAGATACAAGTAAAATCGTAACCTCTATTACTGTATACAGTTAAGGTACTCTGAAAGGACTGTTACATAATTCTCTGAATCTTGCAACTAAGCTATTCTTAAGTAACTCTAGGTACAGTACACTTCTCCAACTGCAATATACTGTATACAGTATAATTATGTACAGTACAGTAAACACTTGGCTGTTTTCACTATAATTATTTTGTTTATAATTTTTTTTATCCACTTCCTTGAGGCTTGCAGACATTTAATGATATGAACAACTTTTCAAGGGTGTAAGAAGAAGTTAAGTGAGCACTAAGAGTCCTGCTGGTACTATACTATTATACCAAGTAAGAAAAAAAAGAATGTACTCAGTATGTGAAAAATTTGTCAAGTATAAAAACAATCATACAACATGTTAACAAAATTAAACAAAATATCTACAATATTTAACATAAGCAATCATGGAACAATGGCAACTGAATACTGCACTGCTAGGTAAATGACAATACAGTTTTGAGTCTTTTAAGTACCTAAGGACCACGAAGTGATCCATGACACTTACTGCTGAGGTTGAGGATTTGGGATCGGTGTGGGAGTAGCACTTGGTAAGGGAGCATCAGGTGCTGTTGACTGAGATGCTGATGATAGATTAGACTCTTCACTCAATCTGAAAGATAACAATAGATTAAGATACTAACCAAAACTCTCCCCTTTTTTACTTATATCCTCTTTGCTACTAATCGACTCGTCAGCCACTTGGGTGGTCGGCCATATCTCTGTTATGCACTGTTGGCAAGTACTGACTCCTGAATGTATCTGTACCTGCCCCAGTGTTGGTTAAGTCTGGTCTTGAAAGAGGTCACCCTCGGTGCCATCACAACACTCTCTGGCAGATGCCAGAGAGTGTTCCAAAAGTTTATAATTCTCACTCTGAAAAGTTTGCCCTTACAGTTTTCTGGATTAGTGGCTTCTTCAACCTTGAGCTGTGACCCCTTGTGTAGGTGTAGGATGATTCTTGCCCCTTAACATATTATAATAACTATCAGCATTAAATCCACTTCTTCCTAAGATAATCCCAAGCCTAAAATCCTTAAATAAACTTTTATCTGTTTCCTGATTGAAGTTTCTCAGGTGCTTTGCTATCATGTCATTCTACTGCTTCTCGTAACTGATCTGTATCAAACAATGTTTTATAATTCCCAAGTCTTATTCTTTTACCTTATTTCATTTAGATAAACTCATTTAATTTCTTTGCACACATTTTACTTCCATTAAGGGGGATTCTGGTTTGAGGTGAAAGTGCTTAATTTTGGTCAATTGTTATGCTATTCCTGTCATCAATCAAGGATCATATGTACATCAATTCTAACCCCTAATCCCCTTCTACCCTTTCAATTTTTTCAACCCTTTACACCCCTTTCTAAATTTATTCATTCAGTATTGTACTCCTATTAGATAAATTAGTATAGACTATAAAACATTAATGGCAATTTTTTTTATCTATGTACCAACAACATGCACACCTTGACCATCGCACCATCTAATACAGTACGTCTTATACTGTATACCTAAGCAACAGATACACAGGATACAACCACCATCAGAATTACACTACCTTCGATCACCATTCTGCAGGCTGGGCTCGACAGCATACAGGTCTGGGTGGAGCTGAGCGAGGCTGTTAATTATGGATGAGTTTATGGACGGGTTTTTATTCGTAGTCGAAGAGGGCGAGTCTTGACCTTCTTCGCCACTCTCACTGCCTTCCTCGGTGATACTGCTGTATACCCTGTATATGGTATAAGTTTAGCCACTAGTATTGCTCCAGATCCTCAACTTTCAACACTAGTATCTGTGCTGCTCCACCTTCAAAATTTCCAACAATAGTACTGCCCCAGATCATGAATTCTCAATGCTACAGCCACCTCATACCTACAATGTTACATGAACCTACGAATAAGGCATTAGATTTTGTGTACCCTACTGTACTCCAAAAAGAGAAGCAAATCACTTTTTAAGAGCATTGTCAGGGACAACATACCTAGTTATAAGAACAACCTTTGTCTAAAACCTACCAACTCATTTACTTGATTTTCCTTCTCCTCACAATAGTCTGTGATCTTCAGCTCATTGTCATAACTACAAATCATATGCCTTCAATTACAAAAATGGCTCATTAGTGAAACATTCTAACGAGAAACTTACCCAGTAGGAGGCTGCCCATTTTCTTCTGTATTATCTTTAGATGTGCTGGTAGTTGAAGAATTGGTAGAACTAGAACTGGCTGCTGCAGGTGCTGTTGTGGTTGCAGCTGCAGCTGCAGCAGCAGCAGCAGCTGTTGCAGCCAGAGCAGCAAACTTTTCTTGAAAAGGTTTCAAGTCTGGCATAAGTGATGCTCGTCGTCTTGACCCTCTACTGCTCGTCAGGTAGGAATTGGGTTGTGACTTTGTGAGGCCGGAAGAGAGACTAATGCGTCGATTATCCTGGGACTGTTAAGGAATAAATTACACTGTAAGATATACGAAAATAATAACTATTTTTCTGGCAAGATGATCAGACAACTTAAACAGTAGATGTGTTTAGTAATGAAAATATAGATATGTATGGATCATATGAGACAAGCATGAATTGGAAATATTTTTTGTTAGATGCCAAAAAATATTTGTAACACATGAAAAAAGATGCTTGATGTTGAGGATGATCTGCAAAAATCTTATGCAATATACATATATATATATATACAGGGTGTCCCATAAGTTTCCATACATATGGTTTTTAACATTGGATTGGTCGGCGTGGTCCTGTGGAGTGGCCTCCCAGATCCCCAGACCTTACCCCACTTGATTTTTACCTTTGGGGGCATTTGAAGGCCATGGTGTATCAGGAAAAGATACAAAACATAAATCATCTCAAGCAACGTATCACCAACGCCATTACAAGCATAACTCCAGCTGTGCTTGAACGTGTTCTTCAGCAGTGGAGGACACGCATTGAAGAGTGTTTTCAACAGAATGGTAGTCACGTAGAGCATATTATATAAATAAAAATGGATTTTCATATAAAAAGGTTTATTTTTCCTATGTATGGAAATTTATGGGACACCATATATATATATATATATATATATATATATATATATATATATATATATATATATATATATATATATATATATATATATATATATATATATATATATATATATATATATATATATATATATATATATATATATATATATATATATATATATATATATATATATATATATATATATATATATATATATATATATATATATATATATATATATATATATATATATATATATATATATATATATATATATATATATATATATATATATATATATATATATATATATATATATATATATATATATATATATATATATATATATATATATATATATATATATATATATATATATATATATATATACACAGTGACCCCTCCGTTAACGAACTCAATCCGTTCCAGAAGGTCGTTCGTTAACCGAAAAGTTCGTTAACCGAAACCATTGTTTCAATGGGTTTTTGGGTAATTGGTTCCAGCTCACCGAAAATTTCCTAAATTCAACAAAAATGGTAGAAAAGTTCACTTACTTTGAGGTGTGTATGTAGAAGGCTCCTGGATGATGATGATGATGATGATGGGATTTAGAATGGGGGTGGAGGAGAAGGAAGAAGAGAAGGCATTGGGGTGGAGAGAAGTCACCCATGGCGCCATTCACCCATAAAATTTTAGCTCTCTTGGTGTAATTCAAGATTATTTTCTTTAAATCAACACTGCACTGCATTATATATTGTCAATATGTAAAATATATTTCAAAATGACCAATAATTTGCTTGGAAACACAGAAAAAAAGTGTTTAGTTGAAGAGAGTCTCAAGCAAGATGTTACCTCCAGTGAAAACAGAGAGAGACTAACTCCTGTTAACTGTGTTAAGAAGGCTGGATGCCGAGCATTAAACTAGTCACTTTACCTTCAATTATGTTCAATAATTGTTAAAATGGCTAAAAAATTTAATATTAAACTTTTAAAATTATTGAATAGTATAAACTTCTTGATATTTACTAAAATAGTAAGGAATTTAAGTCCTAGAACCAATTAATGTATTGGCGGACTGATACTAAAGCTGGTTGCCCGGTCAGTGCAAGCGAAAACATGTTGAGGTCGGTTCGTAAGAACTTCGTTAACCGAATTTTTTTTCGTTAACCGAATTGAGGATCCTTATGGAAGGCAGTTCGTTAATCGAAATTACGTTAACCGAGGTGTTCGTTAAGCGAGGGGTCACTGTACTGTAATAAGAAATTGTGATATTTATTAAATAACAAAAATGAGTAATAGTTGGATGTACACCCACTAAAAAATTATTGGGCACCCTTACGGCGTGATACAATATGACACAGGTGCCGAATAATTTTTTAGTGGGTGTACACCATGTAACAACAGAGGAGGCAGTTGTTGATACACTGTGGAGATGAACAAGGGCTGTACATACTGTACAATTTTAGTTTAAATCAAATTTATTGTTATTAAATTCAGTTTATTCAATTATTATTTTAACATTTAATAATTTAAGTGTACTGTACAGTTAGAGATGCGTGTGTATGAGGCACTGATGACCCCAGTGTATCACTACAACGAAAACCACACCTAGTGAGTCACTCAGTAATGTATGAATCAGTTTACCACATATTGTATAGTGATTTCAATATACAGTACAGTAAAAATCATTACTATTTTACTGAAAATATGTTTGCAAAAGGTTAAACTACTCCCAACCCTCCTGTGTGGGAACTTAAACAAGCAGAAAAGTTTGTGTATTTGGGAAGCAACATGGTAGATGTAGGGAAGAAATCAAAATAAGAATGGGGCATGCAAAAATACCATTTAATAATCTAAATGACCTAATGAAAAGGGACATTAACTTCAATTTGAGAAAAAGGCCACTGAAGGCTTTATATGACAGTGACTGTTTGTTGTATGGGAGAGATGCATCCATGGCATGGACGCTTTCAGCAGACACCTTTTATTTTTATTTTTATCCTCTTCGCCACTGATCGGCTCGTTAGCCGCTTGGGCGGTCAGCCACGTCTCTGTTATGCACTGTTAGCAAGTTCTGGGCATGCACAGGCTCCTGAATATATCAGAACCTGCTCCAGTGTTGGTCAGGTCTGATCTTGAAGAAGCTCACACTCGGTGCCATCACAACACTCTCTGGCAGACTGTTCCAACAGTTCACAGTTCTCACTTCAAAAAAGTTTGCCCACAAAATTTTTTGAACTTGTGACTTCTTCAATTTTGAGCTGTGACCCCTTGTGGGACAGACGTCCACCAGCTCCAGGCATGTACATTCGACCGAGTAGTGCCCCTTGAAATGTTTGGAGGTCTTTGAAATGTGGTATTATAGGCTACACTGACAGGAAAGTAAATTAAGTACTAAGATTAGCAAAAACTTCAAGAGAAATACTTGAAATGTTCAGAAAAAAGAAAAATTAGATACTTTAGTCATATAATTTCGAGTGAGGGGATAACAACAGAAACAATAATGGGCAAAGTTGAGGGTAGGAGGACCAGGGGAAGGCAGAGACTATGATGGATGAATGCAATTAACAACTAGGTCCCAGAGATACAAAATCTTGGAGGATTTGTAAAAAAAGTCCGAAAAAGTTTGGAGTGGAGGACTGTGGTCATCGACCCACAGTTTTGAGTTTGGTACTCTGATTAAACTTTCCTGTGTACACTTACAGAAAAATACTATGCTTAAGGAAATGATAAAGAATTCTAGGTACAGCCTGACCTTGTTGGTACATCCAGCAAGGCTGAGGGCTCGTACACGTCTGCTGGCTGCTGTGTAGTCTGATGATGACTGACTGAGGGCACCACTGGCTCCTGGTGATACCGGCAGCTCAATTTGATACTCATTAAGTACTCTGAAACAGGTGAAGAGAATAAAAGTGGGTCCCATAGGAATGACTCCCATTATGGACAGTGTGGATACAACACATTGTATACAGCACTAAGCCCTTGGTATGCAAAAGTCAGAGTAAAGTTAACTGCCCATTTACAGCTGGGTTGACTGGGAATGCCCCAGATCAAACCAGTAACCCTCAGAATGGAAGACTGTTGGATCCACTCGTTAAAACACCTTAATATTATCAGATTTGACATACAGATACTGTACAGTACAGTAGACCCTTGCCATTCGCGAGGGATAGGCGACTCGTTGCGTTGAGGGAGAAGGCTCGCTTGCTAGCCGCCCAAGCCACCAGCTACGTACCACGAATCGTCGAAACCGCAAATCGTAAACCCACGAATGGGAGGGGTCTACTGTACTCTTAAACCACTTGAACCTGAAGTCATCTGAAATTTGACTGCAGGTGGAGCCTGTTGTGTCCCACAGTTCCCCTACACTGCCCCACTGCCTTATTACTCATTACCTCTTCTGAACAAACCAATGCAACACTGTGTAATGGCTGCAACAGTGGTCCAAGACCTCATTTCTGATTAACTGTAAAAAAGATATGACCATTCATTCTCTTCACTGTCATTTCTGTCTCAAATAAAACTCACTCCAATTCTCATTCAAGTCATGAAATTCAGAGGGAACAAGGGAACCTAATCTTTCAATTTTCAAGGATTAGGAATCCATTGTGTCTCACCCCTTGTGTATGAGTCCCCCTCTGAGCTGAATAAATTTGTCTGGCATCAGTCAAATAAAATATTATACAAGACTTCCCCATAGTAAAGGGTTTATACAAAGAGTATAAACAAATTATCTGTTACAATCAAAGGATACAAGAAATCCAACCTATTAAATTCAAAAGATATAAGGAATTAAATTAATCAGATTCTCTGTATATAAAGAAAATCACTTTGTTAAAATAAAATATGCTAATAAAGCCAGCAAACTTGAACAAAGCGGAAGCCAACCTTGATATTTCAAAGGAAGAGAATCCAATCTGTTGTACAGTATTCAAGATTCTTATATTGTACAAAGGGTTTCAATCTGCAAAATTAAAGGAAAGATGCATCCAATCTACTAAATTCAAAGGACATATATTGCAGTATTGGAATTACTGTATATGTTAAGTATAAAGGAAATAAAAGAATTCAATCTGTCAAAATCAAAAACTACCATATATGGAAACTGAATACAGACAGATAGATCAAATTTCCATACAAGTCTAAAATGGCTCTGCTAGAATGGTAAAACAGACAGCACAGGAAGGTACCTTAACTAAGGATAGCCCAAGGAGACCATTAAAAGCTTCTCAAACATCAAAATCAAAGATTTTTTTTTTCTATCTGTAAAATAAAGAATTATGAGAATTTCCATCTTGAAATCTCACATTTTAGGGGATCCATGGGACAAAAGCCAGATCACCTGAAGATTAGGCACCCCAGCTTAATGGGCATTTCACTTAATGATTAAACACCTCAATTTTAACCTAACTCAACATAAACCAAACCAACTTAAACCTAACAAAATAAAACCTAACCTAACCCAACTTAAACCTAATCTAACCCCAAATTTGATCATCAGGTGAAATAAATTGAGGAGCCTAATCTGGTATATTCAGTGGGAACTTACCGACGCATCTCCTCGAGTTCCTGGTGGTCGCGTTCGTACATCCGCTTGACGTTCTCCACATGAAGCAGGAGGACCTCTAGGGCTCTTGACACTCGCCATTCTTGCTGTACGGCTCCCCACACCTACGGGGGTCAAGGCGGGGAGTTAGCGGTAGTGCATTGGCCGAGAGATAACTACTGTACCCGGTATATAGACAGACAGACAACCAGATAGATAGATAGATAGATAGATAGATAATACCCTGGAGTTATAAATAAATACTGTAGAGAGGGAGGTAAATATAAAGACTGTAGATAGATAAATGGATGGATAGATGGAGAGAAAGAGATAGATAAGAGTGATATATAGATGATAGAATTAGATAAAGAAAGAGTATGAAAAAAGATATGATAATATAGATACCTAAAAGATAGATAATTAAAGATACAGAGACAGACAGTAGGAGAGAGATAAATAAAGAAATAAATGAGAGAGAGAGAGAGAGAGAGAGAGAGAGAGATAAACTGTGTAATATATGACCCAGGAAAGGAACTGTTCACCTCTGAGTGATTGTTAGTAATCATAAGAGGAACAAACATAAGATGACCTTCAACCATTGTCAAATTTTTCACTTACAACAACAACACAAGAGCAATGGTGATGAAAAGGAATAAGAATGACAACATTAAATGAAAAATATCAATTGGAGTAATCTCTGGGTCCCATTACTTAACATAATTCAATGCCTTCACCAAGATGCTTGTAAGAATCTATGAAACTCACATATTTTCTAAACAATCAGGCCAGAGTACACACTGTGGGTTGGTAGTACTAGGCCAGAGTACACACTGGGATGGTAGTACCAGGCCAGAGCACACTGTGGGTTGGTAGTACAGTACTAGGCCAGAGTACACACTGGGATGGTAGTACAGTACTAGGCCAGAGCACACTGTGGGTTGGCTTAAGTACTCCCCTACAAATGCACACAATAACTGTATCTGTTTACCCAATAATTTACAGGAAGTTACAAGGGAGTGTTGACAGTGCTGACAACATTGTCTCACTCACCCCCAACCACCTACTGTACAGTATACACCGCCACTACTACCCCGCCACCACACATTTATGCTACATATTTACGCAACGATCCCTCTACCACATGTGCAGGAAATATCAAAATAAAATTCAAGGATTCTTTAACATATGCGTGTGTAGTAAACAACTAATAGCTTGACCTTTCTATTGATAATGTTCAGATCACTTCAACATGGATACGGTATTGTGAATAATAAGTTATGTATACAATATAGTTTGTTCTGAAAAGCTTAAGTACACCACCATAATCCTTCTGTACATCTTCATAACAGTTCTGAGGCAGCGAACATCAGCTATTCAGTACCAAGACTGCATAATGGGATACACACTGTTCCAACTCTCACTTCTTTCCCGGCAAGTAGTTGTAGTGGATTTCTCCCCTACAAACGCTGTTTGTCGCTGAGTAGCCGACCCCGCGAATTCCCCAGTGTATGCCTTGTGGTCTGGGTCAACCAGCGCCGCCATACATCACGGAGGTCAACTACTAAGCCACGCCTACCCCCGCTATTTAAGACCTGACCTCGTGGTGACCTTTCTCTTCTTCTAGCTACAGCCGCAGCAAGCTACACCACCTCCTCCGCCGCTGCCTGGCGGCCCTCGCTCCCGCCGGCGAGCATCGCGACCCACAAGCTGGTCCTCCTCTGAGCACCCTCACCAACCAGCTCTCTCTACATCACGCTTGTAACCACGCTGCCACTTCCCAGCACCAAGCTGCATTGTAAATCCAATACAACATGTATACAGAGAGCACATTGTGAGTTTCCTTTCTCCATCCCATCCTGAGTGTGAACCCAAACATCCCATACCCCACATAGTTACATATATATTTTTTTACTATCACTAACGTATTCATCTTTTAATTCTACACAACAGTTTTGGTGCAGCTAACAATAAATAAAACCATAAATACAGATAGAATGATAAAGAGGCAACGAGATACGTATATATGGGAGGTGCAAATGTATAGCATATTGCCATCCCCATTACAGTGCAGTACATCTAGTCACCCTCCGCCAGCTACAACATGTTTTTAAGTGGCTCACAACCTCGTCGCCACCTTTTGTATCACCTGTAGGACACCGCTTCTGTAGGTGAGGTGAAACTCCGGCTGGGGGAGGGAAACATTTGTCTTAAGACTTATATATTTGCTGGAACTGTCTCCCTCATACACTGGGGTCATGTCAACACCCTCAACCCAAAATGGCTAGGCCTCTACACTGTCTCTTTACTTAGATGGGATGTTATTTGACCTAATTTAACCTCTCAAGAACAATGTTATCTTACTCAGAGGAAATAGGCCACTGTACTGAAAGGTTTAATACATTGCACTTAGAGGAACATAACACAGTACAGGTGTAAAGTACTTGAGGGGTTATCATCATACTGAAGGGGTTAAGATCCAAATGTCCCTATCTCCAAGTCTTAGGCCCCACTTTTCAAACTTATATAAGGTACTGATCATTCACTTATATAAACAAATAAATGTTATGTATAAAATGTGAGTGATAACATCTTCTGTCCTGATGCCAATTACTATGATATTTTTTTTTTTTTACCTCAGATGCATAAACGAGTCTAGTGGAGGAGGTTGCCAAGATATCAAGGTGTCGGCGGACCTGTGTGACGGCGTCTATCAGCTCAGTATCAAGGCAATCTGCATGTAGCGCCTGCCGAGACAAACACATCCAGATTAAACTATTTTCACAGCGATGAACACAGGGTCACTGTGACTTTCAAGATGTGATGTTTGTGTTTACCCGGGTCCTTCATCAAGGGACTCTGTAAACACAAACATCAAGGGACTCTGTAAACACAAACATCAAGGGACTCTGTAAACACAAACATCAAGGGACTCTGTAAACACAAACATCAAGGGACTCTGTAAACACAAACATCAAGGGACTCTGTAAACACAAACATCAAGGGACTCTGTAAACACAAACATCAAGGGACTCTGTAAACACAAACATCAAGGGACTCTGTAAACACAAACGGGACTCTGTAAACACAAACATCAAAGGGACTCTGTAAACACAAACATCAAGGGACTCTGTAAACACAAACATCAAGGGACTCTGTAAACACAAACATCAAGGGACTCAGTAAACACAAACATCAAGGGACTCTGTAAACACAAACATCAAGGGACTCATACACTTACAAACATCAGGGACTCCTGTAAAGCACAAACATCAAGGGACTCTGTAACACAAACATCAAGGGACTCTGTAACACAAACATCAAAGGGACTCTGTACCACAAACATCAAGGGACTCTGAAACACCAACATCAAGGGACTCTGTACCCACAAACATCAAGGGACTCTGTAAGCTTTACAAACATCAAAGGACTCTGTAACACAAAACATCAAAGGGACTCTGTAAACACAAACATCAAGGGACTCTGTAACACACAAACATCAAGGGACTCTGTAAACACAAACATCAAGGGACTCAGTAAACACAAACATCAAGGACTCTGTAAACACAAACATCAAGGGACTCTGTAAACACAAACATCAAGGGACTCTGTAAACACAAACATCAAGGACTCAATACACACAAACATCAAGGGACTCTGTAAACACAAACATCAAGGGACTCTGTAAACACAAACATCAAGGGACTCTGTAAGCTTACAAACATCAAGGGACTCTGTAGCACAAACATCAAGGGACTCTGTAAACACAAACATCAAGGGACTCTGTAAACACAAACATCAAGGGACTCTGTAAACACAAACATCAAGGGACTCTGTAAGCACAAACATCAAGGGACTCTGTAAGCACAAACATCAGGGACTCTGTAAACACAAACATCAAGGGACTCTGTAAACACAAACATCAAAGGGACTCTGTAACACAAACATCAAGGGACTCTGTAAGCACCAACATCAAGGGACTCTGTAAACACAAACATCAAGGGACTCTGTAAACACAAACACCAAGGGACTCTGTAAACACAAACATCAAGGGACTCAGTAAACACAAACATCAAGGGACTCTGTAAACACAAACATCAAGGGACTCTGTAAACACAAACATCAAGGGACTCAGTAAACACAAACACAAGGGACTCTGTAAACACAAACATCAAGGGACTCTGTAAACACAAACATCAAGGGACTCTGTAAACACAAACATCAAGGGACTCTGTAAACACAAACATCAAGGAACTCTGTAAACACAAACATCAAGGGAATCTGTAAACACAAGCATCAAGGAACTCTGTAAACACAAACATCAAGGAACTCTGTAAACACAAACATCAAGGGTCTCTGTAAACACAAACATCAAGGGTCTCTGTAAACACAAACATCAATGGACTCTGTAAACACAAACATCAAGGGACTCTGTAAACACAAACATCAAGGGACTCTGTAAACACAAACATCAAGGGACTCTGTAAACACAAACATCAAGGGACTCTGTAAACACACACCAAGGAACTCTGTAAACACAAACATCAAGGCAATTCCCCTGTAAACACAAACATCAAGGACTCTTATTAACATTACTGTACTGTTATTATTATTACTGTAACCTTTATTAATATTACTGAAGAAAGAGAGAGAGAGAGAGAGAGAGAGAGAGAGAGAGAGAGAGAGAGAGAGAGAGAGAGAGAGAGAGAGAGAGAGAGATTTATAATTAATATTCACTGACCAAGACAGAACTCCTCAGCTGGTCGATCTCCGTGTCAAAGTTAGTCTCCGCTGTGTCCCGTTGTCTCTGCTGCACGTCCAGCCGCTGTCTCAGTGTTAGTCTGTCTGTCTTGAAGGCCAGAGACAGCTGCGTGAACTTGCTCTGCCGGTAGACAAACCACAGCTGTTAGTGAGGCTGTTGGTCTTACACACACACACGTACACACACACACACACGTACACACATACATAAACGTGCCTGCTAATGTTCATACACACACACCTGCCAATTTCAACACACACACAAACACACACGTACATACATACACACACCTGCTAATTTCAACACACACACACACACACACACCTACATACATACATACATACATACAGATATATACAGATACATACATACATACATACACACAAACCTACCTACATACATACACACACCTACCAATTTCAACACAAACACATACATACATACATACACACGACTGCTAATGTTAACATACACACAGTTTCATCAACTTTCATCAATTCTATCTATCTATCTATCTATCTATCTATCTATCTATCTATCTATCTATCTCAAGTGGGTGATAGAAGAACTTACCTCTATCTCCTGTGCCGAGAGATTTTCATTGCTGGAACACAAAAAGTAAACAAACATTATTATTGTATAAAGTCGAGAGAGAGAGAGAGAGAGAGAGAGAGAGAGAGAGAGAGTATCCATACATAACCTCTCCCACCACAAAAAAATACATAATTAATATTGACTTTGAAAACAACGAGACTCCAATCACCAATCAGAAGATAAAGAGATTGGAAATAATGAAAAAATACATTAGAACCTCCAAAAAGTCCCCCCCCCCTCCAATCTCCAAATCTAATCACAATGACACAATCTCACTCGAATTCTCCCATCGGAAGTTCATATCCTGTGTGTGTGTGTGTGTGCTCGAAGAATATCAGAAAATTCCTTATCGGTACATACATATACTCGAAACAAACAAACAAACACACACACACACACACACACACACACACACACACACACACACACACACACACACACACACACACACACACACACACACACACACACACACACACACACACACACACACACACACACACACACACACACACACACACACACACACACACACACACACACACACACACACACACACACACACACACACACACACACACACACACACACACACACACACACACACACACACACACACACACACACACACACACACACACACACACACACACACACACACACACACACACACACACACACACACACACACACACACACACACACACACACACACACACACACACACACACACACACACACACACACACACACACACACACACACACACACACACACACACACACACACACACACACACACACACACACACACACACACACACACACACACACACACACACACACACACACACACACACACCACACTCTGTAACAACACCATGTTCAAAAATTTTCCTTAATTCCAATTCAGTTTAAATAGCTGGTACTCGTTATATGGTACAGAACTAGTTAGTATCTGTGGCAGTAGGTGTGGTGGTAGTACAAGGTGTGGTAGTGCAAGGTGGGTAGTATATGTGTGGTGGTGCACAAGGGTGTGGTAGTACAGTGGTAGTACAAGGTGTGTGGTAGTATATGTGTACATGGTGTGGTAGTGGCCAAGGTGTGGTTGTACAAGGTGTGGTAAAGGTGTGGTGGTAGTACAAGGTGGTAGAGTACAAGGTGTGGTGGTAGTACATGTGGTAGTACAAGGTGTGTGGTGTACAGTGTGTGGTAGTACAAGGTGTGGTAGTGCAAGGTGGTAGTGTGTGTGTATATGTGGTTGTACATGGTGGTGGTTGTATGTACAGGATGTGTGGTAGCATGTGTGGTGGGTAGGTACAAGGTGTGGCAGCAAATGTGGTAGTACATGTGGTGGTAGTACATGTGGTAGCAAGGTGTGGTAGGCAGTGTGGTGGTAGTACAAGGTGTGGTAGTGCAAGGGGGTGCTGGGGTGTGTGGTATTATATAAAAGTGGTTGTACATGGTGTGGTTGTACATGTGGTTGTACAAGGTGTGGTAGTACAAGGTGTGGTGGTAGTACAAGGTGTGGCAGTACAAGGTGTGGTAGTACAAGGTGTGTGTGGTGGTAGTACATGTGTGGTAGTATAAGTGTGGTTGTACATGGTGTGGTTGTACAAGGTGTGTGGTGGTAGTACAAGGTGTGGTGGTAGTACAAGTGTGTGGTGGTACAAGGTGTGGTACAAGGTGTGTGGTAGTACAGGTGTGTAGTGAGAAGGTGTGGTAGTATAAGATGCGGTTGTACATGGTGTGTATGGTGTGGTTGTACAAGGTGTGGTTGTACAAGGTGTGGTGGTACAAGGTGTGGTAGTATAAGATGCGGTTGTACATGGTGTGGTTGTACATGGTGTGGTAGTACAAGGTGTGGTGGTAGTACAAGGTGTGGTAGTACAAGGTGTGGTGGTAGTACAAGGTGTGGCAGTACAAGGTGTGGTTGTATAAGATGCGGTTGCACATGGTGTGGTTGTACATGGTGTGGTTGTACAAGGTGTGGTGGTACAAGGTGTGGTGGTACAAGATGGTATAGTTCCCCTAGTTATAAGACGTGGTACAAATAGTTATAATAGTCGTTGGTACAAAAGTTATCAATGAACAAGTTGTGTGAGGGAAAGAACTCCACCTGTTCTTGACCGCCTTGACCAGGTCGTAGAAGGAGGTGATGTGCTCAGGGATAGGGAGGGTCTTCTCCATGGTGCCAGGTGTGTTGCTCTGCCCTGGGGGGTGAGGAGACGATGGCACTGGGTCATCCTTCGAGGTTGAGGGCTTTTCCTCCAACCTTGAGGGAGACGAGGAGGAGGTGGTGCTGTTGCCGTCTCCTCCTCCTCCTTCTTTGCCTTCTTCAGGTATACCCGGCACCGGACACCTCACGCTCGGGTTATCTTGCGCCCGTGTGGGACATTCCGGCACCGGACCCGAGGCTTCAAGATCCAGCCTACTGCCCCTGCCAAGACCCCGAGTGTCCGATCTAGTCGTTTAAAACGGGGCAGGTGTGGGCGTGAGGGTGGGCGACTGAGCGTGAAGGTGGGGCTCAGAGCATTGTGTGGATGTTCCTTGAGCGGTGCAGGAGTAGGCGTGGACACAGGCAGAGATCCTTTGAACGACACTGGCGGTGATGTGTGTTGGTGGAGTCGCAACACATAGGGTTTATCCCATGAGCGGCCGAGAGTGACCTGGCGTAGTTATAACATGTGTCTGACGTGGGTGTAGGTGTAAGCGTGAGGTGCAGGTGTAGTACACAGCACGCACCGGAGGGGCAACACTGAGAGACATGTCACATCCTCCTCGGCCCTCAGCCACCATCAAACTTTACTTATCACAACATCCTGTTCTTCCGACACACACACGCGCGCGCGCAAACACAAAAGTTGACCAGATCTCCTGATTTCACAAATGCATAGACTGTTGCAGCACTATATGTAACACAAAAATAAACACTTCTTCACAACACGGAATTTGAAAATACTGTAACTTTCAGTACAACGTTACTTATAATTATCATATAAAAATGTAACAAATTCTGAACCTGAATTTTGATCCATGACAAGGCAGGGGTGATCGCAATCCCCCGCCCCCCTTACAAAAAATCAAGTTACCGGGTATAGCTGTCTGGGTACACCTGTCCACTTGGTCATGTCTGAAGGCGTCTGGGTACACCTGTACGTTAACCCCTTCACCACGGTGACGCTACAACTTGGACAGGTAACTTAGCTGGTTTGATTTATGGAGAGACAGACGCAAATCTGAAGGATCAAACAGAGAGACAGACACACGTACAAATCTAACCTAAACACACTGGTTGTAAATGGCAACATCCTGATGCTCCTCATTATAGCGGGAACCCTCAGATAAGATAATATAGCGGCTGGGTAAACAACAACAACAACAACAACAACAACAACAACAACAACAACAACAACAACAACAACAACAACAACAACAACAACAACAACAACAACAACAACAACAACAACAACAACAAATAACAACAACAACAAGAACAAGAACAAGAACAAACAACAACAACAAACAGCAACAACAAATAACAACAACAACAACAACAAGAACAAACAGCAACAACAACAACAACAACAACAACAACAAACAGCAACAACAACAAACAACAACAACAACAACAACAACAAACAACAACAACAACAACAACAACAACAATGCCAACAAATAACAAATAACAACAACAACAACAACAACAAATAAACAACAACAACAACAACAACAACAACAACAACAAATAAATAAACAACAACAACAACAACAACAACAACAACAACAACAACAACAACAACAACAACAACAACAACAACAACAACAACAACAACAACAACAACAACAACAACAACAACAACAACAACAACAACAACAACAACAACAACAACAACAAATAACAACAACAACAACAAATAAATAACAACAAATAAACAACAACAACAACAACAACACACACTTGACGTCTGTAGATAAGTGTAGAGGCTGCTGCTTGTACGCTGAGGAGGGCAGGGATTAGGATTGGAAGTACTTTGGTGGCAATTTGGGGGAGGGGGGGAGGGGGGATTGGTTCAGGATCAAGGAAAAAGGGGGAGGAAATTTGAAGGAAAGTAAGAGATTGACAGTATCAGGGCTCGACCAGATATTCCGATAAGTGTGTGTTTTCACACACACATAAGAACATAAGAAAATAAGGAGTCTGCAATAGGCCGGTTGGCCTGTGCATGGCAGCTCCTGTCGAGAGTTACTACCACTCTCTATCATCCATGAATCTATCCAGCCTCCTTTTGAAACTTTCCAGCGTTCCCGCACTTACTACAAAGTTGCTAAGCTTGTTCCACTCGTCCACCACCCTATTTGTGAACCAGTTCCTTCCTATCTCCCTCCTAAACCTAAACTTATCCAACTTAAATCCGTTGCTACGAGTCCTATCCTGCTCGGATATTATAAGAACTTTATTTATATCTCCTTTATTGATTCCTTTCACCCACTTAAATACTTCTATCATATCTCCCCGCACTCTTCGTCTTTTTAGGGAATGCAAGTTTAGTTTCTTTAACCTATCTTGATATAGAAGGTTTCTAAGTCCAGGAATCATTTTCGTCATTCTTCGCTGCACCGACTCCAGTGAATTGATATCCATTCTATAATAAGGGCACCAGAACTGAACAGCATAATCGAGGTGCAGCCTGACTAGCGCAAGATATAGTTGCACTCTTATTACTTACACTTCTAGATATAAAACCCAATACTCTGTTTGCCTTATTTCGAACATTAACGCACTGTTTTCTAGGCCGTAGGTCCGGGCTTACAAGTACTTGCTTATGTCACTGCTGATCCCAGTATCTAGATCGTTTATGTAGATTATGACCCCTGGGGAACCCCACTGGTTACACAGCCCCACTCACATTTAACACCATCTACGCTGACCCTCTGTGTTCTATCGGTGAGCCATGATTTTATCCAATTTAAAATTTTCCCGTCGATACCATGAGCCTTAACTTTTCTC